TTTAAAAATTTATTTATTTTTTTTCCATTTATTTTTATTAGTTGGAGGCTAGTTACTTTACAACATTGCAGTGATTTTTGTCATACATTGAAATGAATTAGCCATGGATTTACATGTATTCCCCATCCCAGTCCCCCCTTCCACCTCCCTCTCCACCCGATCCCTCTGGGTCTTCCCAGTGCACCAGGCCCGAGCACTTGTCTCATGCATCCAACCTGGGCTGGTGATCTGTTTCACCCTAGATAATATACATGTTTCAATGCTGTTCTCTTGAAACATCCCACCCTCACCTTCTCCTACAGAGTCCACAAGTCTGTTCTGTACATCTGTGTCTCTTTTTCTGTTTTGCATATAGGGTTATTGTTACCATCTTTCTAAATTCCATATATATGTGTTAATATACTGTAATGGTCTTTATCTTTCTGGCTTACTTCGCTCTGTATAATGGGCTCCAGTTTCATCCATCTCATTAGAACTGATTCAAATAAATTCTTTTTAATGGCTGAGTAATATTCCATGGTGTATATGTACCACAGCTTCCTCATCCATTCATCTGCTGATGGGCATCTAGGTTGCTTCCATGTCCTGGCTATTATAAACAGTGCTGCGATGAACATTGGGGTGCACGTGTCTCTTTCAGATCTGGTTTCCTCGGTGTGTATGCCCAGAAGTGGGATTGCTGGGTCATATGGCAGTTCTATTTCCAGCTTTTTAAGAAATCTCCACACTGTTTTCCATAGTGGCTGTACTAATTTGCATTCCCACCAACAGTGTAAGAGGGTTCCCTTTTCTCCACACCCTCTCCAGCATTTATTGCTTGTAGACTTTTGGATAGCAGCCATCCTGACTGGCGTGTAATGCTACCTCATTGTGGTTTTGATTTGCATTTCTCTGATAATGAGTGATGCTGAGCATCTTTTCATGTGTTTGTTAACCATCTGTATGTCTTCCTTGGAGAAATGTCTCTTTAGTTCTTTGGCCCATTTTTTGATTGGGTCATTTATTTTTCTGGAGTTGAGCTGGAGGAGTTGCTTGTATATTTTTGAGATTAATCCTTTGTCTGTTGCTTCATTTGCTGTTATTTTCTCCCAATCTGAGGGCTGTCTTTTCACCTTGCTTATAGTTTCCTTTGTTGTGCAAAAGCTTTTAAGTTTCATTAGGTCCCATTTGTTTATTTTTGCTTTTGTTTCCAATATTCTGGGAGGTGGGTCATAGAGGATCCTGCTGTGATTTATGTCGGAGAGTGTTTTGCCTATGTTCTCCTCTAGGAGTTTTATAGTTTCTGGTCTTACATTTAGATCTTTAATCCATTTTGAGTTTCTTTTTGTGTATGGTGTTAGAAAGTGTTCTAGTTTCATTCTTTTACAGGTGGTTGACCAGTTTTCCCAGCACCACTTGTTAAAGAGGTTGTCTTTTTTCCATTGTATATCCTTGCCTCCTTTGTCGAAGATAAGGTGACCATAGGTTCGTGGATTTATCTCTGGGCTTTCTATTCTGTTCCATTGATCTATATTTCTGTCTTTGTGCCAGTACCATACTGTCTTAATGACTGTGGCTTTGTAGTAGAGTCTGAAGTCAGGCAGGTTGATTCCTCAAGTTCCATTCTTCTTTCTCAAGATTACTTTGGCTATTGGAGGTTTTTTGTATTTCCATACAAATTGTGAAATTATTTGTTCTAGTTCTGTGAAAAATACCGTTGGTAGCTTGATAGGGATTGCATTGAATCTATAGATTGCTTTGGGTAGTATAGCCATTTTGACAATGTTGATTCTTCCAATCCATGAACATGGTATATTTCTCCATCTGTGTCCTCTTTGATTTCTTTCATCAGTGTTTTATAGTTTTCTATGTATAGGTCTTTTGTTTCTTTAGGTAGATATACTCCTAAGTATTTTATTCTTTTTGTTGCAATGGTGAATGGTATTGTTTCCTTAATTTCTCTTTCTGTTTTCTCATTGTTAGTGTATAGGAATGCAAGAGATTTCTCTGTGTTAATTTTATATCCTGCAACTTTACTGTATTCATTGATTAGCTCTAGAAATTTTCTGGTAGAGTCTTTAGGGTTTTCTGTGTAGAGGATCATGTCATCTGCAAACAGCGAGAGTTTCACGTCTTCTTTTCCTATCTGGATTCCTTTTACTTCTTTTTCTGCCCTGATTGCTGTGACCAACACTTCCAAAACTATGTTGAATAGTAGTGGTGAGAGTGGGCACCCTTGTCTTGTTCCTGATTTCAGGGGAAATGCTTTCAATTTTTCACCATTGAGGGTGATGCTTGCTGTGGGTTTGTCATATATAGCTTTTATTATGTTTTATTATGTTCCTTCTATTCCTGCTTTCTGGAGAGTTTTAATCATAAATGGATGTTGAATTTTGTCAAAGGCTTTCTCTGCATGTATTGAGGTAATCATATGGTTTTTATCTTTCAATTTGTTAATGTGGTGTATTACATTGATTGATTTGCAGATATTAAAGAATCCTTGCATTCCTGGGATAAAGCCCACTTGGTCATGGTGTATGATTTTTTAATATGTTGTTGGATTCTGTTTGCTAGAATTTTGTTAAGGATTTTTGCATCTATGTTCATCAGTGATATTGGCCTGTAGTTTTCTTTTTTTGTGGCATCTTTGTCTGGTTTTGGAATTAGGGTGATGGTGGCCTCATAGAATGAGTTTGGAAGTTTACCTTCTTCTGAAATTTTCTGGAAGAGTTTGAGTAAGATAGGTGTTAGCTCTTCTCTAAATTTTTGGTAGAATTCAGCTGTGAAGCCATCTGGTCCTGGGCTTTTGTTTGCTGGAAGATTTCTGATTACAGTTTCAATTTCCTTGCTTATGATGGGTTTGTTAAGATCTTCTATTTGTTCCTGGTTCAGTTTTGGAAAGTTATACTTCTTTAAGAACTTGTCCATTTCTTCCAAGTTGTCCATTTTATTGGCATAGAGCTGCTGGTAGTAGTCTCTTATGATCCTTTGTATTTCAGTGTTGTCTGTTGTGATCTCTCCATTTTCATTTCTAATTTTGTTAATTTGGTTCTTCTCCCTTTGTTTCTTAATGAGTCTTGCTAATGGTTTGTCAATTTTGTTTACTTTTTCAAAAAACCAGTTTTTGTCTTTGTTGATTTTTGCTATGGTCTCTTTCGTTTCTTTTGCATTTATTTCTGCCCTAATTTTTAAGATTTCTTTCCTTCTACTAACCCTGGGGTTCTTCATTTCTTCCTTCTCTAGTTGCTTGAGGTGTAGAGTTAGGTTATTTATTTGACTTTTCTCTTGTTTCTTGAGGTAGGCCTGTAATGCTATGAATCTTCCCCTTAGCATTGCTTCTACAGTGTCCCATAAGTTTTGGGTTGTTGTGTTTTCATTTTAATTCATTTCTATGCATATTTTGATTTCTTCTATGATTTGTTGGTTCTTCAGAAGCATGTTGTTTAGCCTCCATATGTTTGAATTTTTAATAATTTTTTTCCTGTAATTGAGATCTAATCTTCCTGCACTGTGGTCAGAAAAGATGACTGGAATGATTTCAATTTTTTTGAATTTACCAAGACTAGATTTATGGCCCAGGATGTGATCTATTCTGGAGAAGGTTCCGTGTGCACTTGAGAAAAAGGTGAAGTTGATTGTTTTGGGGTGAAACGTCCTATAGATGTCAATAAGGTCTAGCTGGTCCATTGTGTCCTTTAAAGTTTGTGTTTCCTTGTTCATTTTCTGTTTAGTTGATCTATCCATAGTTGTGAGTGGGGTATTGAAGTCTCCTACTATTATTGTGTTACTATTAATTTCCTCTTTCATACTCGTTAGCGTTTGCCTTACATATTGCAGTGCTGTTATGTTGCGTGCATATATATTTATAATTGTTATATCTTCTTCTTGGATTGATCCTTTGATCATTATGTAGTGTCCATCTTTGTCTCTTTTCACAGCCTTTATTTGAAAGTCTATTTTATCTGATATGAGTATTGCGACTCCTGCTTTCTTTTGGTCGCCGTTTGCGTGGAATATTTTTTTCCAGCCCTTCACTTTTAGTCTGTATGTGTCCCTTGTTTTGAGGTGGGTCTCTTGTAGACAGCATATATAGGGGTCTTGCTTTTGTATCCATTCAGCCAGCCTTTGTCTTTTGGTTGGGGCATTCAACCCATTTACATTTAAGGTAATTATTGATAGGTATGGTCCCGTTGCCATTTATTTTGTTGTTTGGGGTTCATGTTTATACCACCTTTCTGTGTTTCCTGTCTAGAGAAGATCCTTTCCCTTTCAGATACAAGGCAGAGAAAGGTGTAAAGTAGAAAATATCCGGATCTTCAGTAATTTCCAGAAAGGTCCAATTCCTTGGTTGACTGCAGGGCAGCAGGCAGATCCTTGCTGCTGCTCCTGAGACAGAGCCACTACCTCTGCTCCTTGGGACACAAGCCCTCGGGCCCTGAGCTGAGTGAACCTCTCCCTTCCCCTTCTCTTTTCCTTCACTCCATTTCCCACTCCATAAAGGTATCGAAGAGACTTGGCCAGGCCTCATCTTCACTGTAGTTGCTGAGGTCAGGGCCAATCACCTGAGTGAAGTTAAGGAACATATTCCAAGTGTCCCTGGAGATGCCCTTGATCCCTGAGGGGCTCTCTGTTAGGAAGTTTAGCCATTGGTCCAATACTGGAGGATTGTTCTGGGTAAAGACAAGTTTCCACAGGGCAATGGCTATTTCTCGATGCAGTGACCGCTACCCTTTTTCAGAGTCCAGGCCAAACTGAAATGTAAACCGGTAGAGATCCTTGAATTTATTCTCTTGTTTGGCTTCTGTTAAGAGGGTAGGGAACCGTGCACAGATCCCATCAATGCTGTCTGCACTTATTGCTTTGCAGCTGTCAAAAAATTCCTTCCTGGTGAATTTGCACATGGTAGCAGCCTGGAACTTCCAAGCCAAAAGCAGCACTCGAAATTCCGTGGGGTCCACACATAGATCATTGCAAAAGCGCTCCATGCCTTCCTCCAAAATTGCATCCTCTCATTCATCCTTTTAGCGCCTGAACAGTTCTTCCAACCTCTGCAAAGACGACTCCTCGGCATTTGACTTGGGCTCCCTCCCAGCATCTCCGGAGGATGTTGGCAGCTGGCAGGCCTCAGGAGCAGCCTCTGCCTTCTTGGTCTCATTGACAAGGATATCTCCACCTGGCTTGCCACAGGCGGGCAGCTGTTCCTCACGGTGGCTTGCACTCCGCCTACCATGTGACTTGCTGCTGGGGTCACGGTCTCCATTCTTGCTACCCAGAGTTGATGAGGGATTCTTGCACTTGGTGACACACTGGCCCATGATGCTGGTGGCCGGGCCTCTAGAGCGGCCCTCTCTGGATTGGATGCCGTCGTTGCCACTGTCCCATGTGCCTCAACATGCCATCAGTCAGAGGAGCCAGCCAACTCAATGAAACACTCTGGTCCATTGTGCAGAGAGCTTCAGAACACTGTTCCAACATTTAGGGAGAATTGATCCTGGTTCACTGGTATCAGCATTCAGTCATGTCTGATTCTTTACAATCCCATGGACTGTAGCCCATCAGGCTCCTCTGTTCATGGAATTCTCCAGGCAAGAATACTGGAGTGGGTAGCCATTCCCTCCTCCAGGGGATCTTCTTGATGCAGGAATTGAATCCAGGTCTCAGCTGCTCCAGAAGTTCCTCCAGTCAAACCCTTTCTGGTAACGACGGTGGCCCAGCGGGTCCAAAACACCTACCATCCCCGCTCGCGTTTCCAGGTTCCCTACCCACTCCGCCGCTGCCGCCGCCGCCGCCTCTTCTCCCACCACTGCCGCCACCTCTTTTTTTCTCTTTTAAAATACTGTGCAATTTTACACAGCACGGTAATTCTTAGGAATATGAAAAATTTCTGTACTGTACTGTACTGTACTAAAGAATGTTCAAACCCCTGGACAATTGCACTCATCTCCTATGCTAGTAAAGTTATGCAAAAAACCCTGAATGCTACACATGAACCAAGAAATTCCAGATGCCCAAGCTGGGTTTAGAAAAGGCAGAGGAACCAGAGATCAAGTTGCCAACATTCATTGGATCATAAAAAAGCAAGGGAATTCCAGAAAAACATCTGTATGTGGATCAAGAAGCAAAGTTAGACCCTTGTATGGAACAACTGACTGGTTCAGGATTGAGAAAGTAGCATGACAAAGCTGTTTACTGTCACCCTGTTAATTTAACTTATACACAGAACACATCATAAGAAATGCTGGAGTAAGACTGCTGGGAGAAATATCAACAACGTCAGATATACAGATGATACCACTCTAATGGCAGAAAGCAAACAGGAACTAGAGAACCTCTTAATGAAGGTGAAGGAGGAGAGTGAAAAACTGGCTTAAAACAAAACAAAACAAAAAAACTAAGATCATGGCATCTGGTCCCATCACTTCATGGCAAATAGAAGGGGAAAATGTGGAAGCTGTGGCAGATTTCCTGTTCTTTGGGTTTAAAATCACTGCTGATAGTGATAGCAGCCATGAAATTAGAAGATGGTTGCTTCCTGGCAGGAAAGCTATGACAAACCTAGATTGTGTGTTAAAATGTAAAGACATCACTTTGCCACCAAAGTCCATATAGTCAAGGCTATAGTCTTTACAGTAGTCATGTACAGTTGTGACAGCTGGACCATAAAGAAGGCAGAGTGCCTAAGGACTTATGCTTTTGAACTGTGGTGCTGGAGAAGACTCTTGAGAGTCCCTTGGACTGCAAGGAGATCAAACCAGTCAATCTGAAAGGAGATCAACCCTGAATGTTCATTGAAAGGAGTGATGTTGAAGTGGAAGGTCCAATACTTTGGCCACCTATGTGAACAGCTGACTCATTGGAAAAGACCCTGGGACTGGGAAGGATTGAGGACAGAAGGAGAAGAGGATGACAGAGGGTGAGATGGTTGGATGGCATCACTGATGCATTGGAAAATGAACTTAGGCAAACTCTGGGAGATGGTGAAGGACAGGGAAGACTGGTTGCTACAGTCTATGGGGTTATGAAGAGCTGGACACAACTTGGCAACTGAACAACAGCAACAATGTCATCTTGTATTAGACCTGACTATATTTGCAATATGTTTGGAAATGAACTGTTTCACAAATATTTATAATGTTAGCATCCTATAAAGAGTAAAATCTTTCTCTAATAGTATTCAGTGCAGTTGCCATATATACTTTCAACCTATCTTTTAAAAGTAATGAACAACAACAACAAAAAATAAAATAATAAACAGTTTGTGAGACCTTCAGAAATAAAATCAAGTTATTACAAGGCTGCTCTCTCTAATCTCTAGCCTCATAAAGAGATGAATCTGAGATTTTACTTAGAAATTGCTACTCTTAGTAAATTTGTTCTATATTCTACTTTTTATAAGTTGAGGAATCTGTTTTCTCCTCTGAGGTTATAAGGTTCTGTTAGGTAGTTAGAATAAGACAAAGGGTCCAGAATGGTGGTGGCTAAAAGACAAGGAAGGGAAAAGCTTGCAAAAACAGAACAAAGGAAGGTCCAAGGACCAGAGTGAGGCCCTCAGGTAGAACAAACAGCACTCCTGTCTAGCCCAATTTACATAGGGCAGACCCAGGGGGAGGAAAAAACATATAAAAAGAGGTGCCAAAGGGCCAGGGTGGGGGGCTCTGTTTCTCTCCGCCGCGTGCTCGCGCTTGTTCTCTCTCTCTCTCTTCTCTTCACATCTTTGGGTCGGCATGCCTTCACGCCTTGAGGATGTATTTTCCTATTATTTTCTAAATAAAGTTGAGCTGTAACATAGAGCTGTAACACTGATCTAAGAGCTATAACAGGGTCTGTTCAAGACCTGAGAGCTATAACGTGGTCTGTCCAAGACCTGAGAGCTATAACACGGTCTGTCCCAGAGCACTGACACGCTGAGGGCTCTAATGTCCATCGCTTCAAATCTTTATTGAGACAGGACAGAACTGAGGAGAATACACTCACCTGACAGTTCTACCTTCAGTGACTATTTTGAGGGCTCAGTGAAATATGCAATGCATTTAAGAATATTTTATGAAGGATTAAACAAGCCTTAAATAAATTTACTTTTCAAATATAGAAAAAATAAAGCTATAATAAATAGTCTCACAAAGAAAAACTTTTTAAATAAGGCTATGCCTTTGCCAATCAACAACAGTACTGATCCACTCCATATTAGAGTGAATACATAATATACATAACACATTTTATACAGAACACATGCATTCTCTGGTTCATTCCTTCTGATGAAAGCCCATCATTGTCTACTATTGAAGAGTAAATTGGTGGAGTTAAAGAGAGTTGAATTACAGTTGACATTTTCATGAATTGTTATAACTGTGATGATAATAGTGCTTTCATGAAGAAGAAAGAAATTTCCCCTTGATTGCATCCACATACTGTTCTGTATCTTAAAATTTCCAAAAACCTACTTCAGAAAAAATCATAAATATGAAAATTCTCCCTAGTTTCAGTATGACCAAAGCAAAGCCATGTGGACACGTGTCAAGATGATGAATGGAGACATATCACATCTATTTAATTTATTTCTGCATTTAAATTGTAAGTTGACAGCTGTTTATGTTGATTTTACTTATCTTGTTCTCATTTGTGTTTATTAATACTTAAGCTGTTTGCAGTACTTAGATTTCATATGAATGCAGTTAATTTCACTAAAGGTCCTTGTCAGTTGTTATCTTACATTTTTTTTCTTTGGAGCCTTCCCTTTGTTATACTTACATGATACCTGATGCACTACTGTATTTATATATATAGTTTATTTGTTTGGGATTATGAATCAGTCCCAAATTCTTCTTTAGAATTTTAGTATATAGGGGATTAAGAAATAAAAGGCTCTCCAGCATAAAAAGTCCATGATATAAAACTTTGTTCTTTTTGATAGCTGTGATTCCCACGTGTCAAGTATGAGAGATAATGGAGATATGCAAGAGGCAAATAGAGACAAAGAAGAAATGGGAAGGCCATAATGTAAATTTTGATTCTTGAAGCTACCTTCTTTTTTATGATTTGGTTTTCCAACACTTATATATTTTAAGAGTAAACATATTTGTCTATTCTCTCCCATTAATTTAGTTTTGTTTCTGTTATTTGAAATGGAATTCTAGCTAATAAACTATTATAGAGGTAGCAAATGAGCATACGTAATTTAGCTTCCCAGATTGTGCCTTATGTTTTCTCAGTTTACAAATTCAGTGTAATGCTTTGCTTTCTTTCTGTAGAATTTTTCAGTTTTAGAGCACTGATATCTGTAAGGTTTTCACCATTTGGAGCAGGAGATAACGAGACTACGCAGATAGAAGGAGGTAAGTCTCCTCTAAGTAATAAGATTTATTTTCTCATAAGATTTATTACTTTGAAGGTCTTGTTCTTTAAATATAATTACACTAAAATGATTCAAATAAGCTGACTAATTTTGTAAAACACATACCCTAATTGCCTTTTTAAATTTCATGCTGCTGGAAGGCAGAGAATGTGCCTTTCCAATTTTTACATGGCTTTATATCAGATATAATAGTCACATAATAAATGTTTGTTGAAGGACAAGAGCCATGTGGATGTGGGAATATGAGTTTGTGACAAAAGTCGCACTTTAGAATCACACCTCATATCTGATGCTTAAAATCCTTTAAATATTGATAAAATAAAAATTCAGTGTTAATTGGAATTCTCTATTTTGACTGTCAGTTCTCTCATTTAAAACATTAAAAGTGGTTAATGTATAATTTATTGAGTAACAGCAAAAGCCATCCCAAAGTGTTATGAATGTGTTTAAACAAGTGTTGGATGAGAGGCTGAGGATGTAAAGACTTTTAATTTTGTGGTTTCAAGATCAAATTCGGCAATGTGCCTGTGGGTTTGACCACTACTCATGCAGGAGCTTTGAGGATTTTTGATGATGTAGAACAATCAGTGGTGAAAGATCAAAGGCTGGAACACTGAGGGCAAATACAGGTTCATGAATTTTAAAGGCGGTCATGTTTTAAATAATTTCAGTGCATAGCATGAAGCTGCTAGGACTGGTGAAATGGGCATTCAAGGAAGCCAACTTACTTTATCTTTAGATGAATAGGAAAAGATAACTATAGCCCAAAATACGGACGGTTTTTCAGTTTTTTCAAACTAATTGAAAGACCTTTAATCAGTTCAAGGAATAAAAATTCTTGTAAAGGTTGCTTCTTAATTCCTGATAATTTCACCTTTTAACTTAACACATGAACACATTAATTAGGGACTATCAAAAAGCAAGAATGTGGCATAGCTATCTTTAATATAAAATTACATTAAA